GAACTTATGGGTTCTATGAGCTGTTGTGATTAATATCTTACAAACTACGTTTGTTTTTATTATAGATGGCAACCGAAGCAGTTGTCTCATCTCTATGAGCTGAATTTTTATTATTACAATTACTGTAATAAAGATGCATTTAATTGGTGCAGAAATGCTGTATTAGGGCTGTTTTGGCTTGGAAACATATTGCTATCTATATTTCCGAATGAAAATCGTTGTCAGTGACAACTTGTCACTGCTGTCTGACAACAGGCTGCTCGAAGTGGGTATCGAATTTGGGACCTCTGAAACAAGTCCCGTCGCTCTTAACCGCTTACCTACGGGCGAGCCCTACCTAAAGAAATGATATTCAATACCCATTTTAATTCTGCGAAACGTAAAATATCCGCTTCTGATGTTGCTTCGACTTCGTCTATGTCGAGATTCCTAAAATGTGAAAAAATGGGTTCTATAGAAGAACTGTTAGCTGCAATCGAAGGCACCTTTGCGTACCATACTGTTTGTCATAAGATAGTTTTAGATCTATGGATTGCACATCTAAATTGTTACAAACAACTTTAGAATTTAAATTTTCGTGTGGAGCGGAAAAGCGGAAGTAATTATAACTAACATTTTAGCTCCAAATATTTTGAAAATATTGCACAGTATTTTAAAACGGTGCGCATTTGTTTCTGACGCATCCAATCATAAAGAAATAAAACTATTTTAGAACAAAATTTTAGAACTAGAGCAGAGCAGTTGTCAGTGGTGCTGATAACACAAATTCTAATTTTAGCGGAGTGTATAGGAAAACACAGAATAATGTTTTTACCAAAGTGCAGCAAAAGTTGAACTATAGATTTATAGAAGTTGGATTTGCGGGTCATATTTTCCACAACACTGTTAGAACAGCTGCCGATATTTTATTGATAGATGTTGAATTGTTGAAAAATTAATTGTTTAAAAAATTTATTTATATTTCAAGTCGTATAAGGTTAGAGCCGAAACTCTTAACAACTTTTGTAGCTTTGTTGATACAGAATTTTCGATGCCATTGAGTCACTCTCAACAAGACGGCCAGCATTACTGCAGTCATTGAAAGAGTTCTACAAATGTTTACACCCCTACAATCTTATTTTCAATCGCAAGAAAAAGGCCCTCTATTTTTATATAAATTTTTTGATCATCCTCTTTATGAAGTTTAGCTACTTTTCATACACAGTCAAGCAATGGAATTCCACACAGCAATAATTCACATAGAAAGAGACGGTAAGTGTTTTCGATGTCATTCAAAACAGTTCTGACAAACAAGATTCAATATTCTTTTATTTCTACTGCGGTTTCTACAAAATTAGATAAACTCTAACAAAAGAAAAAATATCTGCAAAGCAGTGTACTCAATTCCGAGACGACGCAGTTTCATTTTATCATACTGCACATAGCTATTTAGATGAATGGCAAAAATAAGTTTTTCAGGACATGGATTTATATAGCTGGGTGATATTAAACAAAACACCAACTTGGATTGAAATTGAGAATTATACGAAATTATATATTATTTATTCATTTATTTATTAATGTATTTATTATTTATACGTCAATCGGCTTTGTACGGGAAATTATACATTATGGAAGAGAAAATTTCCGAATGAAAAAATAATATCACTGCGTCAATTCAAATGTGAATCGAAATGATGTCTCATTTTAATAATCGTGAACTTTCTTTATCAAATTTACGAAAATTGTCTGAGTTCTTTTTCTGTCGACATGGTACAAATGCTTCTAGAGAAAGAATATTTTTTTTGATGAGTAGCTTTGGGACAAGTGAAGAGACTCGACTAGAAATAAATACATTAACAGCCATATTGTTTACAAAAGTAAATTATGAAGAAAATTGTACAGACTTCTTCAAAAATGTAAATGATTTACTCAAACAAATCCATAGATCAGAAAAATATAACAAAAAACTAAATAAAATAAGTAAAAATAATTAAAAACTGATTTTTATTGTCTATATTATGCTATTATATTTATTATGTATGTTCAGAATGATAAAATTTTATGGCTCTTTTAAAGTTCCGTGTTGATTATGGTGATATTGAATCGCAGCATCACTTGAAATCTTCAAGTGCCAACGTCACATACATCAGCAAACTGTGCAAAATAAGCTAATAGATGTGTGTGCAGAAGTTATATAGGAAACTATCTTAAAGAATGTGCGGAAAGCCAGATATCTTTCTATTTTGTTTGACAAAACCACGGATATATCACATATCTCACAGCTGAGCCTCTCATTACGTTATTTTCATAATGGCATTATGAAGGATCATTTTGTGACTTTTTGCGATACATATGATGCTCTTAAATCTGAAGACAATAATTTAGGTGACATAGAGCCTAACTTGACAGGTAAAATATTAGCAAAAATTGTTCAAAACTAGTGTACCAAATACAATTTAGATTTATCTTGGTGTGTGGGTAAAGTGGGCCAAAACTAGTGTACCAAATACAAAAGGTGCAGTGTAGAAGTTAATGAAAAGTGTGATCCATGCTAAACGTTGCCCATGCAACAATCATGTTTTCAATAATGAATTAGCAAAATCTAGTTTCCTGCCGCAATCCATCTGGCATAATGAGAAAAGTTGTGGCATTTGCCAATGCATCTGCTAAGCAATTTTTAAGTTAGAACTTGGAGCTGTCATGCAAGGTATTTATGAAACACGCTGGATAGAAAGTTCCAAGGAGACAACTTAATTAAAATTTGTAATGCTCTGCTTAGTAATACAATAAAACTGCCAATAATGCACATTGCTTGCTGCAAACATTACGCAGTTCTGACTTTATTATATCCTCCATCTGCTTAAGTGATGTATTAGGTGGGTGTATAATTTATCATTGTCACAAATTCATTAATTTATACACTAAAGTCATTGTAATTTACTTTTTATTTTTCAGCTACTACGGTATATTTAAGCAGAACTCTGCAATCAAGCTCAACCGATTTGAAAAAAGCTACAGATGCTTTTAATGATACTAAGTGTTCTAAGAGATAAAAGAGAAAATTTGGACGTTACAGAAGTAGCTGTCAGTTATAATAGAAATTAAACGTCCGATATTAGTATCAAAACAGATACATAGAGCCAATAATCAACCTGCTCAGTCTGCTGAAGATTCAATAATCAGCGATCTCCAGGATCACTTGTCTCCTGATATACTTAATTTATTTAGGCTGAATGTTTCCATGCCAAAAACCGAATATAACAATAAAGACATTGAAGCGTAAGACAAGTAGCAAACGACTATAAAATGTTACTAGATAATACTCCAGTGTCTATTACTGTAAATGAATATAGGCTGTGGATAGTGAAGTGACAGTCATGGCAGCGGACCCAGGATACACCGCAATCAATGTCTGAAATTATTATAAATTGAGACATTTATATGTATCCCAACTGGACAAAATTGTCATTAAAATTTATAATTTAAGTTTCGCGCGCTCGTTGTGAACTGTCAACAACGAGCGTTATGGCTGATAGGTTGCTAGCATGTGTGCGCCACCTTTAACATATATATGCTCCGATGTGCAAATTGTATAAGTGTTGTTGACTCTCTTCTTCATCAAACCGTCGAAGCACAAAGATCGCAATAAATATATATTAAAAATAATACATCCAGCGTTTCTTTATTCCATAAATGGTCCATCGTAACGGCTGAGAGGTATTTAAAGCCTGTAAAAACAGTGCGGTGTGTACTTGGTTATAATTTGTTTACGCATGCGGCACATGAAAGTTTCTGTGTCGTTCGATAATCATAGAGAAGAAGAAGCATCTGAATTACCTAGGGCTAGCTTTCGGACGCTTTAATCTACAACTTTCGAAGATTTGGAGGTGCCTAATTTGAGGTTAGGATACACGTCGCTGCCCAAGGATTGATCTATTTGCCGGATCCATGTCCACGTAAAACTCAGCACCCCCAAGCAGTTTTTTGGCCTTGTTGGAGAGGATATTTGCTTTTAACTTCTACTATCACGTGAAGAGGAGAAGGAAATTGGTCGTGTATAGCCTATACACGAGTCGTGAGTGTTATTTTGACATCTATAAGTTTACATATGTACAAAGAACATTTTATTAACAATAAGTTTTTATAAATCAAAATTTATTTGTTTACTTGTTACATATAGTTATTTGTTGTTACTTACTTATATATTGTTTAATTGTACCTCAGCTATAGAGTACCTTATTTCAAAAGTCTCTTTATATTTGCCTTGATTTGTTTGGTTACTTGATATTTGCAATCATAATGGTAGACTTAGTTTCATTAGAGAGTACGCAAAGAATGATTAAAGCATCATTTGATGCAATTCATAAATATATCAGTAGCTTTAGTGAGGGCGACAACATTAAAAAGTTATCGGTGCGTAAACAAAAACTAGTTGAGAGAAGTCACGATTGGGACGAAAATTATGTACAGTTGGAAGCAATCAGTCCAGGTACGCATACTGCAGAGTACCTTAAGTACTCAGAGCTATATTTTCATATGATGTCGGAAATAGAAACAATAATTAGCCGACATCAGAAACCTATTGCGAAAGGTGCTCACACTTCGATAGATGTGAAATTGCCCGATATCATATTACATAAATTCAATGGGGAATATAATGAATGTGGACAGCCTTTATAGATATTTTCAATAGCTTAATTCACAATAATTCCAAATTAGCACCTGTACAAAAATTGCACTATTCAAGAGCCGCACTCACAAATTCAGCTTCAAACTTAATCTCCACAATCAGTATTACTAATGAGAACTATGATATAGCTTATGACCTCATAGTTAAAACTTATAACAATAAATTTTTGATAATTAATTCGCACTTACAGAGTATAGACAATATTCCAGCTATTAATAAAGGAAGTTTTGAAAATCTGATGACCCTTCTAAATAGTGCAAGACAACAGATACAGTCATTAAAGGTCCTATATAAACCTGCCGAACATTGAGATGTAATTTTACTGTTCATGCTGAGTAGGAAACTTGATAAAGGGACAAAGGTTGCCTGGAATCTGTGTAGAACGTCAGGGCAGTTACCATCTTTAGTGGAATTTTTTACTTTTTTGGAACTTCGGGTAACTGCTTTGGAACATTCTTGTAGTTCAGACAGCAAACCAGCGTCAACAAAGAGTGTTCATACCATTGTCAAGAGGCCTACACAGTCATGTAGTCTTTGTAAAAGGGAGGATCATGCCTTATATAAGTGTCCCAATTTTAAATCATTAGATATAGTAGCTAGAAAGAGCTTTATTAATAAACATGGGATATGTATCCGTTGTTTGGCAGCTCGACACAGTGTGGCTAAGTGCAAATTCAGCACAATGCACAATACCTTGCTGCATGAGGACCCTGAGCCTGTGCCCAGTACTTCTCAAAGTAGCACGGTTTGTATGGCTAGCAACACAGGTGTACAGACCTTGTTATCAACTGTTTCGCTTACTGTCATTGACGCGGGGGGTTCACAACATACGGTGAGAGCACTTTTAGACAGTGAGTCTCAGATAAATTTAATAACTAATTCTCTTTTGGCGAAACTGAAATGTTCCATTAATTCAGAGGTACATAGACTGAGCGTTTTGCAAGGCCAAAGCTTTTTGTGCAATAAGGCAGTAAAGTTGACTGTCAAATCTAGGATAGGAGCGTTCTCTAGAAACATCAATTGTGTGGTTGTGGATAGAATTACGCATGCATTACCATCTGTATTTATAGATTATGAAGGCCGGAAGATTCCTGACAATGTCTCGTTGGCAGATCCGTCATTCAATGTGCCTGGCAACGTGGATATGCTGATAGGAGTCGAATTATATTTTGATGTTTTGCAGCAAGGGTGTATTAGGCTAGGAAATCATCTTCCTATTTCAAGGAAAAGCTCTTTCGGATGGTTGATTTCTGGTGTCTTTAAGGCAGAACTTCAAAGTAATGTACACGTTGGTCTTATTTCTAATGAGGATCTTCACAATAGTTCGACGAAGTTTTGGCAGTTAGAAGAAACTTCTTCGAACAATGCTATGACGGGTTCAGATAAGCAGTGTGAAGATCATTTTATGGCCGATGTTACACGCCTTGAAAATGGCCAATTTGAGGTGGCCTTGCCGTTTGTGGAGGACCAGGTCGAAAAGCTTGGATCATCATTTGTTACTGCAAAACATATATTCTTGAATTTAGAGAGGCGATTTGCTAGGGATGTCAGCTTGTTTGAAGCATACTCCTAATTTGTAACAGAGTATATTGATTTAGGTCATGCTGGGCAAATTGTGTTAACTCCGGAGGAAGCTATCGCGAGTGATTATTATTTTCTGCCTCACCATCCTGTGGTGAAAGATGGAAATTTCAGTAAAATACAAGTTGTGTTTGATGCTTCAGCAAAGTCATCTACAGGTATCTCGCTGGATAACATCTTACACACTGGACCAAAATTACATTATCACAGGAGCGAACACTTCGGACGACTTGTTTTTTTTTTTATAAATTTTTTATTACTAATTATTTTTTCCTTTTTTTTATCTTACATACTACATATATTTTACTTTTTCTTTACATATTTTTAATGTTTATTACATTTTTCTTTACGAATATTTCTTCCAAGGGCAGGTCCGTGGGTTGAGTTGAAAATACACTCAAATCATGGTTGCACGATGTCAGAGCTCTTACATTTTCCTGTTGTATAGGGATACAACTCGACTTCCTTTGTATTTCAAAGCGATACAATCTTAGTACCTCTTTACTTCCAAGTGGCATGTTGCCACTACCGCTATGCCCTCGAAAGGCCATTTTCACTTGAAATCATATTTGAAATCTATGATTTCAAGTGAAAATTTGGTATCAAGCTGCTTTGATACCGAACCGACCGAGGTTGGATTCGAACCCGGGACTAGGATTTGCTAGCCCACGTTCTTACCACGGGACCACGGCCGACCCACTTGTTAGGATACAAGGGGAGATTGTCAGGTTATTAGGTGAAGGTGATTTCTCGTTGCACAAGTGGTCGAGCAATTGTAGAGAGGTGTTGCAAGCAATTCCTGAAAAGAATAGAAGCTCAACTGTAGCCTTGTTTTCAGAAGGAGATACAGTCAAAACCCTTGTCCTCGCATGAAATCCTTCACAGGATTGTTTTAAGATCTAACAAATTAAGGTTTCGGTTGCGGAGGCCCAGCAGGTTGTTGACACCAAGCGGTCTGTGCTATAAACTATAGTACAGATCTATGATCCAATTGGGCTCATATCTCCGGTTACCGTTACAGCTAAGTTAATTATGCAGGAGTTGTGGAGGCATAATCTGGAATGGGATGAAGCATTGTCGCGAGAACTGCAAGTTAGGTGGAATTTATTTAAAAATCATTTTTCGGATCTTGATAAACTGACTATTCCGCGTTGTGTGTACCATTCGGTTCTTGTGAATATACAAGCCTTGGGTTTTCAGACGCTTCGTTGCTTGCATATGGGGCATGTATATATCTTCGAGCAACATATGCAGATAGAACGGTATCATCGTATTTACTGTGCTCTAAATCAAAAGTAGCACCATTGAAAAATGTCACACTGCCAAGGTTGGAGTTATCTGAGGCTTTGTTATTAGCAAAGCTTTATAAGCAGATAACAACAATATCGGGCATTAAAATCTCTGAGACCTTCTTGTGGTGTGACTCAACTATTGTTCTTGCCTGGTTGAAGACGGATCCTTCCCTATTGAAAATGTTTGTGAGCAACAGGGTTGCGGAAATTTTGGATTTTGGACACGCCAGGCACAGTGTGGAGACATGACTGCAGCAAAGATAATGCGGCCGATATAGTATCCAAAGGTGTAAAAACACCATTAGAATTAATTGTTTATAATCTCTGGTGGCATGGGCCAGCTAGGTTGTTGCAGAATCCTTCAGAGGTTTGTTGAGACTGCACAGAAGCGATTCCAGAGTGCCGAGTATTAACAGCAACGACTGTTACTGTTTATAATGAGCATTTGAAGTTAGTTTTAGAAAAATGTTCTACCTTCAATAAAGCAGTAAGGGTGGTTGCTTATTGGATTCGGTGGCCAGAAATGCGTCGTTTAGATAGGGGCTCCAGGCGTTTAGGATCATTGTCAGTTGGCGAGTTGAAGAGGGCCTCTAGGCGCATTATTTATTTAGCTCCAAGAGAGGTTTTTGGCAATTTGACTGAACAGTTAAGTTCTGGTAACCAACTTGACACCAACTTCAGCAAGCTGAAATCATTAAATCCTTTTGTGGATGCCGAAGGCTTGCTTAGAGTAGGTGGAAGATTGGAAAACGCAGACATAAGTTATGACCAGAAACATCCCATTATATTGCCCAAAAACCATTTAGTGACTGACCTTCTGACTCGCACGGAACATGAGAGGTTATTTCATGCTGGCACACAAACAACATTGGCGAACATAAGACTGAGGTATTGGCCTATTGACGGACGAAACACAATAAAACGAATCATTCATGGGTGTGTGAAATGCGCTAGATTCAGAGCAGCCTGTACTGAACAATTGATGGAAAGCTTGCCTAAGGATAGGGTCACTGCCTATCGACCTTTTCAGGTGGTAGGTGTTGTTTTGCAGGTCCAATTGAATGAATTAAGGTCCAGTAGATTAAGAAAGGCTCCGCGCATTAAGGCATATATTTGTTTGTTCGCCTGTATGGCTACTGAGGCAATTCATTTTGAGTTAGCAACGAGTCTTTCTACAGAAGCCTTCATGTCAGCTTTGCGGCGCTTTATTGCACGACGTGGTTGTTACTCCGTGATCCATAGTGACAATGGGAGAAACTTTGTTGGTGCCAAAAATTAGTTACGGCAATTAGCCACATTGTTTCAATCTGAGATTTACAAACAAGAGATCATTTCGTCGTCTGCTCGGTTGGGGATAACGTGGAAATTCATACCCTCTCATGCACCCCATTTTGGAGGTTTATGGAAGGGATCTATAAAAGTGATGAAGCATCACATTCGTAGGGTTATCGGGTCGCACTGCCTGACGTTTGAAGAGTACATGACAGTATTGCTACAGATCGAAGCTGTACTTAATTCGAGACCACTTCTTACCCTCACAGATGATAGCTCTGATATATCTTATATTGGCCCCGGTCATTTTTTAATTGGCAACGCCTTAACATCTTTTCCAGAACCATATAACGATATTGCAAATGTCAAGGCAACTAAATTGTTTAAGCAAATAGCAGAGATGAAAGATAAGTTCTGTATTTTTGTCAGACCTACAAAAAAGACAAAAATGGTCAAAATAACGACCAAATATTGAATTAAATACAATAGTTTTATTGAAAGAGGACAATACACCTCCATTACATTGACCTATTGGCCGTATAATATGTACAAGTACTGGACTTGACGGCAAAGTTAGAGTAGTTCAAGTTAGGACTAGTAGTGGTGTTTATACCCGCTCAATTACTGAAATCGTTCCTCTACCTTGTCATTAGCCTATACATTTTATAATCTGTTATATTTTAGTATTTCTTATCAACATTTATTATTAAAGTTATCAAATTATTGTTAAAGTATAATAAATAATTAAAATATGTTATCAATTTTTTATATAAATGTTTTATCTTGAAATAATATTAAGTTAGGAATATGTTTATATAATAGACTGAGACAATTATTTGTATTAAGATCAGCTAATCATCATGCATTTTTTATATCGTTATACAGTCCACTATTCATATTGCAAGTTTTTGTTTTGTTAGCATTAAGATGATTATGTTTTAATTAGTTTAGATATAAGATCTCAAGAAAGAATCAGTTGTAAATATTTATCATTGTTGTACTTTTGTTATAGTTTGTGATGCTTTCGCATCGCTCGGGAGCATGGGCAAAATTATCATTCAAATTTATAATTTAAGTTTCGCGCGTTCGTTGTGAACTGTCAACAACAAGCGTTATGGCTGATGGGTTGGTAGCATGTGTGCGCCACCTTCAACATGTATATGCAACGATGTGCAAATTGTTTAATTGTTGTTGACTCTCTTCTTCATCAAACCGTCGAAGCACAAAGATCGCAATAAATATATATTAAAAATAATACATCCAGCATTTCTTTATTCCACCAACATAAGAAATTTTTTACAAATTATGTCTACGCTACCTGTCAATGTGGCTACAGCAATGGCGGAAGATCGTTTGACCCAACTGACACTTCTCCATGTACATAAAAATATAGCGATTGATGATGTAATAACGCGTTTTCGGAAAAGACGCGAAAGAAAAAATGATTTTTTAATTTGAAAATGTGAATTTTGCTTATCTTTTAAATGATTCAGTATGTTTTGTAATTATTATATATAGTAAAATTGTTTTTTTTTGTAATGATTACATATTTGAATGTTAAGAGTAATCAGTTATTATATATTTTATTTTTTATATATTTATTTTTATTGTATATGTTATATAGCGATTTTCAGGTGTAGTGTACTTATTTACATTGATAAAATATCTAAATTTTATTTGAAATAATTACAACTTTTTGCTCAAGTGACCTTTTTTTTAATAAGCAAGGACCCCCCCCCCACCCCTGGCGCCAAAGCTGAATCCGCCACTGTATCATACATCACTTAACTGAATGTGGTCGGAGAAAATGTGTATGAAATTGGGTGAAAAACAAACTAAATTAAAAGTTGGACTCATCGAAGATGACAAATTAATAAATTGGACGAAATGATACAACTGAAAGAAAACGAAAATGCTATTCTTTGGTTAGTTTCAGCTATTTTACAAAACATCCTTCAAGTCAACGAGAAGATATTGATGATAGAAAGAAATTTAAAGGAGCGAAGACAGGAACAAATTACAAAATACAGATATACAGAATACTTTTGGTATTTTGTTACAAAAAATATTTTAAAAAAGCGCTATAACACTAAAAATGTGATATATAATTATGATTTTGTTTTAGTTATGATTTAGAATTAATTTGTAATTTGAATGTAAATTTTTGTATACAATTTTTCCAAACTGATATTGTGATTAATAACAGTAAATGTCGTTTTATAAGATTATATTTGTGCTTAGGATGACAAAGTCAATCAAATCAACAATTGAGTTTCTCTGTCAGAAAAGATATATTTTATTGTTAGTTTTACATTAGCAAAGTTTTAAATACAAAACCTTACATACCTTTCAGAAAAGAAACGACATTTAATATTATTAATCACAATGTCAGTTCCTAAACACATTTATAACAATATCTACTATTTTAGAGATTATTTTACTTGTACGTAATTTTATTAATTGTTGAAGTTTGATACTAATAAACACTGTGTGTCTGCTAGACAATATTAGAATGCCCCGTGTTCATATAGACGCTTCTCTCGCCCGATTTTTACGTTCAGAAGGAATACTTAAAGGGTCCTCCGCTCGACATGATGGCGCTGCTTTTGGCATTCAAATTAATGGCGCAAAATTTGAAATGAAAATTAATGATTTTTAGTGCACGGGTATTTGAAACTAAATTTGGTATTACAATCATATTATGCTTTGTAATAATACAATGATAACAAAAATATACTAGATAATATTATATTATAATAAATATACAATCAAATCGAAATATAAATGAACAAATACACTGCAATACACCGGTTTATATATAATAGATATCACATCTAATCTACTGGAATAACTTCTACACTTTTTTCTACTTATTAATATAAATATTTATTGAAATTTAGTGAATAATGCATATAGTGTTAGTTCATTACATCGTCTGTCATTCTCAACTCTCATTAACTAATAATCATCCCGTGCAAAATTTGACATTCTTAAGCAATTTTCTCCCAAGTATATTCAACTCCGTGTGAAGTGGTAATCCGATTTTAAACAGCTGGTACAGCTTTCTATTTATGTATTATGTCTTTCTTGTAGAAGCGTATACTTGATTTCTTACACAATTTCCTAGAACTGACCTCTTTCCTTAAAGTGTATTATGATTAGACTAATATGTCAATGCACAACGTAGTAATGTAGTAATTATGGCCTCCATATGAGTTTGAAGCTGTTTTATTCATACTGTCAAAGGGCTATGCGTTTGAGAGCAATTCCTGATGAAATCTTTATTAACAAATATACAAACACAAACGAACAAGAATCGCCATTTTGTAAACTTACACAAAAGTAACACTGACGTTTCTTAGTAACGAACATAAAATATTTGAAAATACTTTTTCATCGGCTCACTAGCGCCAAATCTGCGACTACAAATGGACCCCTAAGTATTCCTTCTGAACGAGGATTTTGTTCTAAGTGAAAAGGCCCTGGTGTGTCTACTCTATGTTTATGTATATTTGTTTCTCTTTTGTTTTGTGTCAATCTACACTTGTTATGTTATATATTGTTAATAATATTTGTAATGCATGTGATTAGTTAAAGAATATATAATCAGTCAGTCTGTTTTTATCCTTCTGCATGAACGGTTGTATTATTGTTCACATAAACTTTTAACATAAATTGTACATTAATTATGCCGTGACGTATTTTAGGTTATCACTTGTTTTGCTATCCTAATATCATAGGAGCTAGCGCGCAAGGCTGTATCTATGACGATCATAACGCGCAAAATTAGGTATTGTTCTTTACATACTATTGATATATTAAGTAATTGAAAAAGTAATCTAGCTCTTTGAAACAATTTTGCACGCATTGGGTAAGACGCTGTGCAAGGGCAATACAAGAATTTCGAGAACGTAATCGAAGTTGAGTTCGTTTGGTTGGTTCGTTGAATTCAGTTGCGTTACAAGAGATTAGTGTTTTTCAGTGAAACTAGAACTAAGCAAGTATCATGTCGAAGTTTAGTAGTGCACCACGGTGCAGAAATACAAAAAGTAATGTTAAAATGCATGTCGAGAGCGAGAAGTTATTACTAACGGTACGTAAAAATTAATATAATAACCAAACTTTGGTAGCAAATAAATATGGTTTTGAATGTTAAAGATGATCTTAATTTGGTTGGAAAGAACCAAAAATCTTTCTTTGGAGACATTAACACCGTTTTATTGTAATAAATCTAGGTACGTGTATGACGCACACTTTGCACTTTATATACAAAATGGATACAGCAGGCACAAAACTGAGAATAAACGCATTGCCTACACTAAACATGCAAGGTTTTTGCTTCAATATAGTATAATCTTCGTAACAACTAGGGCTGCTAGGCATAGCGATTTACAGGAGGCGATACTAAAGGCTATGCAAGAGGAACAAAATTGGATAGCAAAGAATTTCAAGGCAGCAAATTCAGAAAAAAATACTCGACACCGTTTTGTACAATCTGTCAAATAAAGGGCCTTCTTTGGAGAAATTAACACCGTTTCATTGTCATAAATCTAGGTACGTGTATGACGCACACTTTGCAATTATATGCAAAATGGATACAGCAGGCACTGAGAATAAACGCATTGCCTACACTAAACACGCAAGGTTTTTGCTTCAATATAGTATAATCTTCGTAACAACATTTTTACTCAATGTTTCTTTATCATTGGGTTTCAGTGGTGATCCTTATTTAGATAGTAACTGCCTTCTGGATAGAAACTCATTCAATATATTTTAAATATAACCTTAAAATGAATTATAATGAGTTTACTTAAAATTATCCTTATTATTTTGAACTATGTCAAACTAGAAAATGTCAAAAACATTTTTGAAGGTTTTGGATATTGCATGCGTGAATGAAATGGGCAGCCAAAGTAACTCACTTATCATTACATAAGTTATCATCTATTTCTATTATTCTAATATAAAATTTCATTGTAGCTTCCTTTGAGTCTACAGTAGTAGAGA